AGACAATCTCCCTGCCGAGCTCGTTCACACCGCGTGTTCGCAGCTCGACTTGTGCCGCTGCATGGCACTATAGCGAGATGCTAATCTCTCGCGCGCGAGATGAGACAATCTCCCTGCCGAGCTCGTTCGCACCGCGTGTTCACAGCTCGACTTGTGCCGCTGCATGGCACTATCGCGAGATGCTAATCGCTCAAGAGATGAGACAATCTCCCTGCCGAGCTCGTTCACACCGCGTGTTCACAGCTCGACTTGTGCCGCTGCATGGCACTATAGCGAGATGCTAATCTCTCGCTCAAGAGATGAGACAATCTCCCTGCCGAGCTCGTTCACACCGCGTGTTCACAGCTCGACCTTTGCCGCTGCATGGCACTATAGCGAGATGCCAATCTCTCGCTCAAGAAATTAAGCAATCACTCTGCCGAGCTCGTTCACACCGCGTGTTCACAGCTCGACTTGTGCCGCTGCATGGCACTATCGCGAGATGCTAATCTCTCGCTCAAGAGATGAGACAATCTCCCTGCCGAGCTCGTGCACACCGCGTGTTCACAGCTCGACTTGTGCCGCTGCATGGCACTGTAGCGAGATGCTAATCTCTCGCTCAAGAGATGAGACAATCTCCCTGCCGAGCTCGTTCACACCGCGTGTTCGCAGCTCGACTTGTGCCGCTGCATGGCACTATAGCGAGATGCTAATCTCTCGCGCGCGAGATGAGACAATCTCCCTGCCGAGCTCGTTCGCACCGCGTGTTCACAGCTCGACTTGTGCCGCTGCATGGCACTATCGCGAGATGCTAATCGCTCAAGAGATGAGACAATCTCCCTGCCGAGCTCGTTCACACCGCGTGTTCACAGCTCGACTTGTGCCGCTGCATGGCACTATCGCGAGATGCTAATCGCTCAAGAGATGAGACAATCTCCCTGCCGAGCTCGTTCACACCGCGTGTTCACAGCTCGACTTGTGCCGCTGCATGGCACTATAGCGAGATGCTAATCTCTCGCTCAGTCAAGAGATGAGACAATCTCCCTGCCGAGCTCGTTCACACCGCGTGTTCACAGCTCGACTTGTGCCGCTGCATGGCACTATAGCGAGATGCTAATCTCTCGCTCAAGCGATGAGACAATATCCCTGCCGAGCTCGTTCACACCGCGTGTTCACAGCTCGACTTGTGTCGCTGCATGGCACTATAAGCGAGATGCTAATCTCTCGCTCAAGAGATGAGACAATCTCCCTGCCGAGCTCGTTCACACCGCGTGTTCACAGCTCGACTTGTGCCGCTGCATGGCACTATAGCGAGATGCTAATCTCTCGCTCAAGAGATGAGACAATCTCCCTGCCGAGCTCGTTCACACCGCGTGTTCACAGCTCTCGACTTTTGCCGCTGCATGGCACTATAGCGAGATGCTAATCTCTCGCTCAAGAGATGAGACAATCTCCCTGCCGAGCTCGTTCACACCGCGTGTTCACAGCTCGACTTGTGCCGCTGCATGGCACTATAGCGAGATGCTAATCTCTCGCTCAAGAGATGAGACAATCTCCCTGCCGAGCTCGTTCACACCGCGTGTTCACAGCTCGACTTGTGCCGCTGCATGGCACTATAGCGAGATGCTACTCTCTCGCTCAAGAGATGAGACAATCTCCCTGCCGAGCTCGTTCACACCGCGTGTTCACAGCTCGACCTTTGCCGCTGCATGGCACTATAGCGAGATGCCAATCTCTCGCTCAAGAAATTAAGCAATCACTCTGCCGAGCTCGTTCACACCGCGTGTTCACAGCTCGACTTGTGCCGCTGCATGGCACTATCGCGAGATGCTAATCTCTCGCTCAAGAGATGAGACAATCTCCCTGCCGAGCTCGTGCACACCGCGTGTTCACAGCTCGACTTGTGCCGCTGCATGGCACTGTAGCGAGATGCTAATCTCTCGCTCAAGAGATGAGACAATCTCCCTGCCGAGCTCGTTCACACCGCGTGTTCACAGCTCGAAACTTGTGCCGCTGCATGGCACTATAGCGAGATGCTAATCTCTCGCGCGCGAGATGAGACAATCTCCCTGCCGAGCTCGTTCGCACCGCGTGTTCACAGCTCGACTTGTGCCGCTGCATGGCACTATCGCGAGATGCTAATCGCTCAAGAGATGAGACAATCTCCCTGCCGAGCTCGTTCACACCGCGTGTTCACAGCTCGACTTGTGCCGCTGCATGGCACTATCGCGAGATGCTAATCGCTCAAGAGATGAGACAATCTCCCTGCCGAGCTCGTTCACACCGCGTGTTCACAGCTCGACTTGTGCCGCTGCATGGCACTATAGCGAGATGCTAATCTCTCGCTCAGTCAAGAGATGAGACAATCTCCCTGCCGAGCTCGTTCACACCGCGTGTTCACAGCTCGACTTGTGCCGCTGCATGGCACCATAGCGAGATGCTAATCTCTCGCTCAAGCGATGAGACAATATCCCTGCCGAGCTCGTTCACACCGCGTGTTCACAGCTCGACTTGTGTCGCTGCATGGCACTATAAGCGAGATGCTAATCTCTCGCTCAAGAGATGAGACAATCTCCCTGCCGAGCTCGTTCACACCGCGTGTTCACAGCTCGACTTGTGCCGCTGCATGGCACTATAGCGAGATGCTAATCTCTCGCTC